GAAGAATAGTAATGAAAAATATGCTTTCCTTGAAGAAGGAAAATGTGGGATTAAGAGCTTCTAGAAGGCTATTTTCTCAAAAGCTGGTTCTGATTCCAAAAAACAATCAGGCTACCATAATTTATATTGTTGGCAAGAGTTAGAATCATGACACCTGCAATAGGAAAGGTGGTGCTGGGCAGTGTCTCACAGAACATGAGGTTTTCCAGCTGCCTGTCAGAGGAGAAAATCCTACACATAAATTTATACCCACACAAGTGGTTCTTGGGGCTTGTAGATCATACCTTCTGATCCACCTTCAACACCTTGGCACCCTGCTAGTGCCCTTCTCTTGGGAAAACATATCTTTATGGGTTTTACAGGAAAAGTTCAGAAGTCTACTTTTTAATGAAGAAAGTGCAGCAGTAAAGTGCCAATCCAGTTCATTCTTGTATGAATTTAGTATGTCATAACAAAAGGAATGGCAGCTAATGTTTTCAAAATGGTATCTCTCTACTTCGGTGCTTTAAATTAAATTGAAATGTGTGAATAAAATTAGTATGCCTTTCAGGAGAACTTGGCAAATCAATTCTCAACCGCCTTGTACTGAGTCTGGCTTGGATAGTGTTTTATAGCAGTCTGGATGATGCTGTGTTTTGGATTTGTGACTAAAATCGCCTTGATAACACAGCAGTGCTTTGACTGTTGCAGAATATTTCTTGAGCAGGGTCAAGAATTTCTCTTTTTGTTAGTCTGCCCCAACAGAGAGTAGACTGTGGATGGGCAGGTCATTGGGAGGGGACACAGCTTGGACAGCTGACCTGAGCTGGCCAAAGATATAGATATAACAGACCATATAACATCATGTTCAGCGATAAAAACTGGAGTAGAGAAAGAAGAAGGGTTTTGGCTTCTGAGGTGGCTCTTCATTTGGAGACTGGCTAGGCATCAGTCTACATATGAGAAGTGGCAAGTGATTTTCTTCACTGTGCTGTTTGTTTGGTGTTTTTTTTCTTTTCTTTTTTTCTTTCACATATTAAACTGTCTTTATCTTGATGAACAAATTGTCTTACTTCTGTTTTTCTTGTTTTTTCCCATCACTCTGCTGGAGTGGGTGGGGATGAGCAGGTGCGTGAGTGCTTGGCAAGGGCCAACCCACCACACACCTGTATGCTCAGGTATTTATTTTTCCACTAAATTGAGAAGGTTGCAGTCAATTATAGTTATGACCCATCCAAACAGGGAAACACTTGATCAACAACCACTGATGAAATCACCTCTACTCAGGCAATGATTAAGGCAGTTAAGGGTTGTTCCCCTCATGGAGTCATAGAATATCCTGCGTCGGAATGGACCCAGGAGGATCAGTGAGTCCAATTCTTGACCCTGCACAGGGGAGGCCCAAGAATCACACCAAATGCTGTGCTGTCCACATGCTTCTTGAACACAGAGAGGCTTGATGCTGTGACCGCTTCCCCTGTTCCAGTGCTCAACCACCCTCTGGGTTAAAAACTTTCTCCTGATGTCTAACATAAACCTCTCCTGACTCAGCTTCATACCGTTTTCTCAAGTCCTGTCTCTGGTCACAGGAGTGAAGAGATCAGTGCCTGCCTCTCCACTTCCCTTGTGAGGAAGTTGTAGACTGCAATGAGCTCTCCTCTCAGTCTCCTCTTCTCCAGGCTGAACAAACCGAGTGACTTCAGCTGCTCCTCATATGGCTTTCCCTCTAGAATCTTTACCATGTTCATAGCCCTCCTCTGGATCTCTCTAAAAGCTTTATGTCCTTTTTATGTTGTAGTGCCCAAAAATACACACAATATTCAAAGTGAGACCACACCAGTGCAGAGTAGAGGGGGGCAATCACCCCCCTCTCAACTGGCTTGCAATGCTGTGCCTAATGACCCCGCTGGCTGCCAGGGCACTTCTGACTCATATTCAACTTTCCATCAACCAGGACCCCCAAGTCCTTTTCTGTGGCACTGCTTTCCAGCATCTCATTCCCCAGTCTGTATGTACATCCAGGATTGTCATGTCCCAGGTGAAGAATCCGGCACTTGTCTTCATCAAACTTCATATTGTTAGTGATTGCCCATCTTTCTAATTTTTTGAGGTCTTTCTCTTGGGCCTCCCTGCCTTCGAGGGAGTTAACAGCTCCTCCCAATTTAATCTCTGCAAACTTACTTAGTATTCCTTCAAGTCCTTTGTCCAAGTTGTTTATGAAGATGTTGAAGAGAACTGGTGTTAAAATGGAGCTCTTTAAGGGCTTGGGTGTAAAGGATGATGCAGTTGGTTTCAGTAGGGTGTATCATCTTCTACCTACCCACTCAGCATGAGTTATTTGCCACTGTTTTTACCACCTCCAGTACAGGGGAGAGACTTGTGTATGGTAATGCACAGTCCTAGAAAACGAGAAGTTTTACTTGTACTTGACTCATGTCATTCAGTACTTGCAATTTGTTTTAGTTAAATTCCATAGTCCTTTAATAAAGATAATCCATTAATATGTTATATAAAATACTAATCCTGTTATAGAGACACTTTTAAAAGACCTAGTAGTAGATATATCTTTGGTATGTGTTGATCTTATTGACCTCTTAAAGAGCTAAGAATTTAACCTGATTTGTTGCTTAATAGTACTAGTAAACTGTTAGTATTGGTTGGAATTGGTTTTCAATAATGTTTTGTTTTTAGAAATTACATGGATGAAGTACAAGCATTTTACTGTTTAATAAAATGAATCTAAAGTAAAAAAAAATTTGATTATATCACGTGAAGTAGAATGTATCAATTACATTTAATTAAATAAGGGTAGTTATAAATTACTAAATTATATAAATATTTAACTATATACATATATAAAGCAAATTGTTAAATTACATAAGGGGTAGTTATAAATTTATGTAAGGTAACTTCACTGCTGAGCTTCAGTGTTAAAACTTCCATACAGAAAACAGGAAGTATATTTCTAAAGTTCTGCATCTAAAACCCTCTGAATAATCTTTTAATTGACAATAATAAGGAGAGGTTTATTCTCCTTATGTAATTAATTTTCTTAATGAGCAGTTGACATTATTTTTAAACTGTAAGGTGCAAAAAATTTTTCCTGAATTAAGTGTATATTTATTTGAAAATGCTCCTGAATGTTCACTGTCTTGAAATATAAAAACGTATGTCATCCTTTCCCCCCGGCTGGATCTATTAATAGTACATGCAGTTACCAGTGTTTCATTCTGCTAATTCAGAGCTCTCATTAACAAAAGAACCTTAATGTTAACAATTTATGGCTGGTTCACTTTAACATGGACCTAAAGATTAGGCATACTGCTTTACTTCATTTGTTGGAAGACAATTGGAATACTGGTTGGTCAAGGTTGTTTCAAAGATTTCTCTTTAAAGAAAATAGGAATTCAGCCCAGAACAAGAGATATGAACTGCCTATTGTAGTTGGTACATTTACTTGGAGAATTTTCAGATTCAAATCTGAATTTGTCCTACTACATATAAGGCATACCCTGATGTTGTACCCAAAAGGAGGGGAAAAAAGGAAAAAAAAAAAAAAAAAGAAATAAAGAGGAAGGAAATTTACAGCTTTTGTAAGTATTTGTTATCCCTTCATAAAAGAGTTCCATTAATGGTTCAACCCGTGATTTCTAATTCTGAAGACAAATTAATTTCCTGTGGTCCAAACTGTTCTCAAACTGTTTTCTTTTATGTTTTTCCTCTCTTTTTATTTATTTATTTACTTATTGTTCTGTGTGAGAAAACTTTTTTTGTAAATCATCTGTTTCTGGGCACAGTAAGCACAAAGCCTCATACTGCATCAAAATATAGCACGTATTAGAGTGTGGATGTAACTAAAGCAAGCAAACCTTATACTGTGAATGCAAGAAGGTTTTTACAAGAGTTTTGCAGATCTAAATAATTAAGATGTAGGAATCTGACTAAATAATCTTCCATCTCTCCTAAGCTGAAATGTATCCACAGAGAAAACAAAAAGCTAAGAAAGCTGTCTTTTATTGCTTTTTGTCTTGAGATTATTCCTTCTGCGAATGTCTTTGTTGTACCAAAGCATCACCAGACTCACTAGGCTTGTACAGACTTTGCTAGCTCTGGTTAACTGGATTTTTTGCATAAGCATAGAGCAAGCATGTGAGCAACAGGGAATGCATGGGGAAAGGAGGAAGGAAAAAAAAGAGAAAATCCCTCACCGTGAGAGGAAATCATTTGCTCCTGGCATATTGTTTCTGAAGAGGCTGGTGGTCAGGGATGGCATGGTGGACAATTTTTGGTTGAGTGATCTAACTTTATGAAATAAATTAAAAAGGGAAGGATGGGATGATGGAATCTATAATCACCATCTTTGAGGATAGCTTTTCCAGACATAAAGTTATGTAGACACAGAGTCTAGATGGCTGAAATATTATAAAAAGTTTTTGCAGAAATAACGTATTTACGGATTAGAAGTGAAAAAATCATTTAAAAGAGCAGAAAATGAGGCTGCTTGAGTACCTTCCAAATTTCTTTTTCATTTTCGTCAAAGGAAAATCATTTTTGTAGAGTTCTACTATATCTTATATGTTTTGTTTTGAAACTACTGTACTTCAGTTAAAATTTGAAATGTATTTCATTCGTAGAGGTTATTTATTTCAGTTTGTCCTGAGGAAGTGAAGATCAGTGTATAGGCAAAAGGACAAGTTATCAAACGGCAGGCTTTTTGGGGGTTGGAAGTTCTGTTTCTTCATGGCTGAGTTTTAGTCTATTATTCTCACTTTTCTTAAGTATGTTCCACAAATATGGTTATTACCTGTCATATTTATTGCATTTTTTCTGCATTGACTATATTTTAAGTATACTGAAATACAGAGCAAATCAACAAATAATATTGAATCTGAGACAACTGTTTGTTGGTTGGTTTGTTAGTTTGCTGGGTTTTTTTTGTAATTTCTTTTCCTAACTGTACTGTCTGAAGTATATTATATCAGTTATTATCTCTGGGCTCATGTTCATGCACTCCACTGCAGGTCAATTCCTCCTTGAAGAATCCCGCCTGATAGAAGCAGCTGAAATGGCAAAAAAAGCAGCTGAACTCGATAATATGGAATTTGATGTTGTTTTCAATGCAGCCCATATGCTCAGGTTAGTGCTTTTACATATGCCTTACTTGATTTTCCTCTCTTATTTTGGAGGAAAAAAATATTTATAACCTTTGCTTATGCACGATTCTTTTTAAAGCCCAGCAACTCTTTTGAATAATTCAATATTACTAATAGGATACTAAGAACTGGAATGAAACTGTTGCAGGATTTAGCACTTTCCATTTCTAATTTTCTGTGTATTATCTCATAATTTCTTACCTTCAAAACTTCTGTGGTTTACAAGCATGTGATCCATTTTGCTTGCATAGACGAATAAGTGTTTCTTTTGTGATGAACCTTCTGCAGAATTTCCTTTCACCTGACTGTTAAAAATTTAGTGTGAAAAGATGAGACCATATTCTGTTCTAGATGTAAACAGAGAACATTAAAAATTTCTCTTAGTAGGGAACACTGCGATAATTAGAAATCTAGATATTCCCAGCCTAATAATGACTTTGAGACTCATAGGAGCACTAAGTTATACTCAGAATCTGTGATTTAAAATGTAGTCTCATATTTAATTCTGTTCTATCTGAATAGGATTAAATTTTAGACTTCTTTTTGAGCTTTTCAAGCTGACAGACAGGGTTATTCAGTAACATTAAGCTTCTATCTGTGAGCTTAACATTATCATTAAACATTACTTTAGTAGGTATCCTCCATGTTTATTTCTAGGATAACTATCCAATTATTGTCTGTTGTCCGCTTAACAGCTTTATTTCATTTTGATGATATCTAAGCGTAGAAAATGCATGAGAAAGGAAATTAAAAAAATATACTTCATTAGCACAAAACAGTTCTTGAGATAATTTCTCTGATGAAGATATCTCACTAGGCTGTTTATACTTTTAACATTTTAAATATGAAATTAAAGGAAAGGAAAATTGTATAAAAGAGAAGAAAAATGGTATAAAACAGATGGTAGAATCGGCTTCAGGCAAGTGACTTGTGTTTCAGAATTACAGTTTCTATATCATGATTTTGAAATAGCTCCAAAACACCTTTTGAAAAATAACTCTTACTGCTTGCAGATTAGAAAGGAAACCAAGAAAAATTATTCCCTGGTAAACAATAGCTTGACCTGACTCAGGTGTATGAGCTATTTGCCTTCCCCCTGATTATTCTGTGAATGATATCTCTTGAGACAGAGTTCAGTAATTTGAAGACAGAAGCATAGCAAGCAGCTGAATTCAGAGGGGTACAGAGAGTTTCAGAGTCCTGATTGCAGCGAGTGTGTTGTGGAATATAAATTTAGGTGGCCTGATTGTGTGTTTTTTAAAATGTGATGATGTAGTGTGATTCCAATGCTGTTTTGGAAATAGGTTTAATAAATCCCTCACTTTGTCTGTGAGCACTGAGTGAAGCATCCGAAGTCTTGAAGGCATGTTGGTTTACATCTGGATATGAGTACTTTTTTATTTTTAAAGTAACAGTAATACTGCTGTACTGCACATCAGCCATGGTTAACCTTCTTGATCTGATTGGGAGTATACTGTTTTTGGGGCACCTTGACTAGCATTGAGCTCAGTGATTCTAAGATGCATTCTCTATTTTTACTGTAAGCCAAAAGCCAAAACCTTAAGAAACAAAGAAAACTCCCCAAACCAAAACCCTTTAAAAAAAAGGGCCTGTTTTAGTTTAGCTAGAAACCATTGTGCTACTTTGGTCTAATTTTTCACTTACGTGCTCAGCTCTCTTTGTAATTGTCTTCCTAATATGCTCTGGGAGTCTGAAATAGTCTGGAGGATTTAGCAAGAGCGGGGTGGCAAAGTTAAATTCAGTGCTGCTAAGCATTTGCTTAAGAATTCCATGTGTTAGCATCTGACTGATTTTTGCTGAAAGGTTATGGTTCTGTTGTCTGTCCTTGTTCACTGCTCTACTTAGCAATTGATTTAAATATATGGCTTCTGTAAAACTTGTTGTACAAGGGCAATGTGTATTCATTCATTGGAACAGAGCAGCTACAAATCCATTTTGAGCCTGCAGGACTTCAGAAGCAGCTGATTTTCAGGATCTTTGGAACAGAGAGCTGAGGTGATACCAAGAGGAAAGCAGATACCAAGACACAAAAGAGGAAGGAAAGAAGGGAATAAACCAACTGACATAGAGTGACACAGCTAGGAACTGTGAATGCTAAATGCAGTCATAAATAAAAGGCTGTCATGTAGGTGACCGACTGCTTTTTAGGTACCCTAGAGAGCTGTAAAAACTGACCGGTGAGTAAGAATTTTGAATGAACTGCACAGCTGTAAGGTAGAAAACACATTATAGAAGTTCACAGAGCATGAAAATGAATTGACTCTGGTGAGCAAGGTGGGATAAATTTTAAAGATGTGTTGTGGACTAAGAGACAGAAATTGATACTAATGTGGATGATGCAAGGTTTCCAAAATGACTGCAGGATAATAACAGCAGCTTAGATTTTTGTATAGATTCTATTTTTTTTTCAGACCAAATATTCTACCCAGTGATGTATTTTTGAATTAGGAAGGAATTATTTTTCCCTCATCTCTTACTACTGTTTCCACCATTAGCCTAAGGAGTGTCACAAGGCTGAGAAACATGAAGACATTTCTTCAGCATCTCATGCGACTTCTTTCAAATTTGGTTTACAGCTGTTTTGGATGGAAACTAGTCACAATATTCCTTCAAAGTTCAGTTTATTTTTCTACTCTAGTGCTAAAATATTTTCCTTTTTTTTTAACCCCCTTACTCTCTCAGAAAAAAGAAATTAAATTAAAACACAACCTCAGTAAAAATTTACAACTTTTGAAAATTTTGAACTAGAATGCTGCAAGGTAATCTTCTTTTTCTTAAATTTGCAACAGAATTGTTAACTGGGTCTAAATGCAGTAGTTGTCTTTATAGATAGCCTGTTCTCAGTTTAGCAGTCACAGGAACTTCTGCTCCTCATGGCAGGTATTCCAACATTGCTTACTTTCTTTTTTGTGACTGAATCTGAACTAAAAAAAAATAACAACTGAGTTAGTTCTGTTTGCATTAGTGAGAGACCTCCCTGCTCCTAATTGCACAGTTATTTTTTTTTTTCCCTAAACAAATTCTGTAGCATACTGATAATGCAATGCAAGATGAATCAAGTAATCTGTAAGAGGGGTGGGATGAATGTAATTCATTTCTTTGCAACTGTCTGGTAACTTTTAACTTGCATAATACTTTCCTGTAAAATTTATTATCTCAACAAATTTGTTTCCAAGACAGCTTTCTTCAAGGGTCGTGCAGCTCTTTGGGTGGTTCTTAAAACAGTATCTGGTCACGTGGTTTACTTTTGTACTATTTCCAATGCTCTTACTTACAGGAATTTAAAGTCCTTCATAAAATCCTAGATACATTTTAGTGAAAAACAGTGAAGCATGTGTTTGTAATGCTGTACCTTCAGAGACTAAGCCTTGTATTAACAAGTGCTAAGTTTCACTTTTTAAGTTTTATACTAGGTGAGCTGCCATGAGCTAGATTTCCTGTGGTCTAGGAGAAGATTATTTTTAGAATGAGGGATGGCAGTGTGGTGACACTGCTGTACTAATTAGGAACAGGAAAAGAGCTTCACGTTGTCTTCACATGAAAACAAACTTAGGAAGAAGACCTATTTTCTTAAAAGCACATTTTGTAGGAATAATTAGTTTTTTCATACTTCTGTAAGTGGGTTATTCTGGGAAACTCCTATTACATGAAGTAACACCATGTTTGCTGGTGTTTGAAAACAAGTCTAAATTAGAGCAATATTACATGACATAGTCTTTGTTTCTCAGTGAATTTCTGGAAGAGTATTTTGGCTTTCCAGAATACACCAGTCAAACATGGACTGTAGTTGCTGACACAGTCTCATAGGCACAACTTCACCCTCTGTTATTGTCTCAGTAGTATATACTCATCCTTTAATTACTGTCTATGTGCTTAATTATATATATGTATGTATGACAAAGCATATAGTCTATATAAAATTTTTAAAGAAAAAAATGTGTGAACAGTTAGAGGTATAAAACCTGATTATGATTTTGTTGTGACGCAAAAAAATCCATTAAGAATGCCAAGTATCAACATGCAGTATTTAAAAATAGGAATCTTTGAAGAAAACTTCTTTTTAGCTGGGCTGACATCCATGATTTCACTGTAAAAATAATCAACAGTCTGAAGCCTTGTACTAAGCAACAGGCAGGTTAAAACTAACCCTTTCCCACTCATGTTTATCAACCTAAACCAGTCAGCACTGGTGGTGTTTTTCTCTTACAACAATATTTTTTCCAGTGATCAACATAAAGATTCAAAATGAATGTAAACTGGGTGTCAGGATAATCTAAGTGATGTGCTGTCAAAGCATGTTTATGAAGTGTCACCATCAGTCAGCTGGAACTGAATACAGGGAATTGGTTGGTCTGAAGGCTGAGGTTAAGAGATATGAGAGAATAAAAAGAGAAAACATTTTTGTACCTTAAAACAAGTTTGAATGCTAGTGCTAATAGGGGAAATCAGAAGTGTTTTCAAAGTCCTCATGAAAAGATTTAGGGTAGAGGTTGAAATATATCTCATAACTATGAAAAGGTCTCTGTCTTCTGAACTTCTCTTTGCTCCCTTTCCTTCCTTTCTGTTTTATTATCAATATTTTATCCAATATTTTACTCTAATGTGAATTATGTTACCTTTAGTACTGTCCTTCCCTTATTTGACATTGATCCAGAGCTCTTTACTGCTCAGTGGCATAGGGTTACTGCAATTTCCTACCTCTGTGCCTTTAATTTTTCTCGAGGGAAAGCCATTTCAGGGCTTAACGTAATGAATTTCTAGCTTAGATTTGCAGTGAAAATGGGATCCAGAATTCTGAAGCATCTTAAGTTAGGGAACTGATGTTGAATGCCCTAGAAACGGAACTGGCATTTTCCTGACCAGATTACTGTGTTGTGCATGCATTTCTAGAAACTGTTTTTAATGGAAGACTATACATTCGAAATGAATTCAACTTAGCAATTAATGATCCGTGTTCCGAGATGTACACACGAGAGGAAAGCAAGCCATGTATTTCCAATGGGCTAAAAGGGATTTTAATGTGTTCCACATTCACATGCCAACAACACTTTTTGGAGGTGAAGTGTAGCATTTGTATTTGCCTCCTGGGTAAGGCACCTTGTTTATTGTACGTTATTTCACCACACTCAGAAGTGCTTTGTGTCCTGACAGTTTCATAGGAACAGGGGGAAAAAAAAAAAAGCTGTGTAACATGTTTCATTTTATAGCACCTTGTTGTAAATCCTGAAATTCATAAGTATGAGATTATTTTTTTTCACTCATTTCAAGTGCTACTGATGCCCAGCAGGAGCGATTCAGAAGCAGGTTGAATGAATATTTTTAGACATTCAATCATTTCTAACCACTGCAACCACTGAGTAAATGATACATGTGAAAAGCAATTTAAAACAGTTAACAAGTATAAACCAGGTTCTACTTAGCAATTGTTACTCAGGAAGTGGTTTCAGCTTGCACAGGAATTACGTGAGAAACTTCAAAGGGATTGTCCCCTTCTCCTCCCAAGACCAATAGCTGTCAAAATGTATTGATTGGGATTAATTGACTATCATGTATTAAGTGGCTAATGTTTGAAATCTGGGTGGATAGAAACATAAAATTATAATACAGTTTGATTACTAAATAACTAAGCATGTAAAGGCTCACATAATGAAGAAGGTAAAATCTCCAGGCACAAGTGTTCAGTTGATTGATACTCTTTGAATTAGAAACTGTTCTCAAAAGAAGAAGAAAGAGGGAAAAAAAAATCAGACGGCCAACTCTACTCGGTGTTGTGCTTGTTTTCTAATTTTTCAGTTTTGTGTCACAGAAATGCATCTGTGTTATATAATCACATAGCAAACACAAGTATGCTGAAGATCTCCTGTCCTAACTCTCCTATGAAAGGACCTAGCTCTTCATAGGAAAAAAGGAAATAATTTTAGCAGAAGATATGTAGCCTGCCTGAAAGTCGTGCCTGGTTGTTCTTACAGATTTTCCATCTTTCTCATGACTTGCATGTGATCAACTGATACTCATTGGAATGGTAGACAAAATGAATAGTTGGAGGAAATTTAAGAAGGTGGAGACAAAAGAAGAAGAGAGGAGTTTGAGAGAAGAGATAAAAAGGGCCTGTTGAGACAAAAATGTGTTGGGATTTCTTTGGCAACAAATTGCATTTTCATTTGAAGATATTAAACTAAAAACTCAGGAGAAGAAATAAAAAATAAACTACTAGGAGCATGTAGATGCTGTCTATATTAGTAAGGAGAAGAAAAAAGGTTGAGCTGATAGTGCTTCAGGTACCTGGAAACTCATCATATTCTCCTGGGACAGGAGATCGAAATTTAAATCCCCTCTCAGAATGATGTGAGTAAATGTTCATTCTCTTCTGAATGAATTCCCTCAACCATGGAAATCTAGTTTTCAGAAATCATTGTATTATCTGACTTTTTTTTCCTTTTTTTTAACTGGAATAATAGTGGTTTTGGGGAGGCACAAAGTGAGAAACTGCATTGTTGCATAATCTACAGTTTCTGAATTTAAAGTATGTCTGATTACAAAAAGTGAGCCAGACTTTCCTCTGGTGAAGACATATGTCTCTGTTTTTGCCTAAGATCAACTTTCTGTTTTTCTTTTTAATGTGTACTAATATAAAGTTAGAACTAAAAAAGAAACTGAAGTAGGCAAAGAAGATTTGTGCTAATGGACATTCTGAACTATGAGAAAACTTCTAGATTTACATATTTTGTGCATTTTTCCTTAAACAGAAAGGTGGTTGCAATGTTTTGGTTTTATCTATGTTTCTTTAGATATGGGTTTTTTTTAACCCAAGGAAAATGAGATGTAACTGTTGGGTTTTTCTGTCCTGATAGACAAGCCAGTCTTAATGAAGAAGCAGAGAAGTATTATGAAATGGCAGCAGGATTAAGACCTAATGTAAGTACCTTCTTAATGATATCCATTACTTAAGTTGATGAATGTCCTATGGTACTGAACCCTTTTTGTTGAGCAGAACTTCTTGCTGGAGCATTTGATCTCTTGTTCTGCGTTATATATATTCTTTTAATGGTTAATTATTGGGTAGTCAGATGAAGCTGTTCATTTGTCAAACCAATTGCTATACTTTCAAGTTGCTTCAGTGAAGTGGTCTAGCAATAAGTCTTACTTGGCTAACATACATAGAAAAGACTTCTAGATTTAGATTTATTTATCTATGTTTAAATGTGTTAAATTTGGAAAGCTTTTCCAATTCCATCTATTTTCACTAGTAAAAGAGAATGAAAGGCTACTCTGTGATCCACTGTTTAAGGCATTTTAAATAATACATTTATTCCTTTTCCTCTGTCATGAACTTCCGACAAACGTTGTTTAACAAACTTTAAGATAATTTTGCCTCAGAGGTATTTATCTCCAAAGTAGTTGTATATTGGCAAAGAAATACTTGTTTTTTGAAATAGAAGTATGTAGGAGTGATAGATACTTTTTAAAAAGGGAAGTTCATTTCCAGTTTTATTGCATCAGGAACTAAGGAAATAAAATATTTTTTTACTTACCATTTTTTACTCAATGTTATATTTCTTTTCAATTATCTTCACATTTGGGGGGGGGAAATCATGAATATAAATGAGGCAGAATTTATTTCAAATACATGACATTTTGCCTATGCAATAAATCAAATCTAGGAAAATTCCTGTCACAGAAGTCTATAGTACCAAATTTGAGGATACATGTTAGCAAATTCAGTTAAAAAAAAAAGGGGGGGGAAAAACTATGGACTTAAAACAAAAGAGTTTTCAGATCTAAGAATCAAAAGCAACTCCAGCTAAGACTCAAAACAAGCTAACAAAATATAATAAAAAAACCCCAAAAAACCTATTCATATGAAATGACAGACTCTCTCTTAAAAGCTCTCAAAAAACTGTGTATTAATTCATTCTTTGTGAAATAACAATATAGACTTTGTGATTCTTTATGCTTTCAGATACAAGACTTTTTGTGTTGTTTTTTGAGTTTTTTTGAGAGGATACCATAATGTTGAAAGAATTCCCTCAGTTGTGTGCAAACTGGTACAAGTCCTCTTCTGTGATTCACTGTATGCTCAAAATATTTTTCAGAAACTCCAAAATAAGTTTATTGTATAAACCATATATGAATATGATTATATATGTGAGGTTTCTCAGGGAGCTTTGGAAGTAACTGACAGCTAGGTTAGCTGTTTATAATTACTGTTGATAAGTTTTACATGCTAAGACCAAAGTATTCTTTTTGAAGGATAAGATTGTCAAAACAGTTCATTATAGGAACTTCCTTCTAACTTTATTAGGATAAGCAAAAATCTAATAGATACTGGTGTTCAGCTTTCTTTTAGAGAGAATTTCACTTTTATGTACAAGATCACAGTTTAACTTTCTAGCTAAGCATGGTGTGCATATGGTTCAAGTCATTTCGAAAATATTTTACTGATGAAGAGTGGGAAGATTGTGTCAGTTTTCAGTGCCCGCATCAACTTTCTGATGACTTTACAAGGGCATTTCTCAAAAATGTAAACAAAACTAGAAGTAGTCATACATATCTCTCTTATTAACTCTCAAATTTACCAGAATAGTTTCAGATTGGGAGAAAAAGAAGCCACTTGAGGAGGCTTACTTGGTGTTAAGCAATATACTGTATACATGGTAAGAAAGAAGCTTGCAATCTTTCCAAAACAATATGGAATGCAAATTACTGACGTACCCTCTTCTTCATGGCTGCATCTGTACTGATAAATTAAATGTGTCCAGGACTGTTCTCTAGTGCTGATTAAACCAGCTGCTTAGAGTGTGTCTGGGTACTGTCTGAGAACTGCAGTGGCCCAGTCTAGAGCTATGTGGGAGCTATCCTCACATCTTGAAAAAGCCCACAGTCTTATTTGACCTTTTGGATATAGCCTGTGTATCCTCTCACTGTCTCATGAACATGAAGGATCAGCAAAGTTATGTGAGTCAAGATGCTAAAGAAATGTCCTGAAGCAAAACGTAGTGCTGAAGGATTTAATTTTATTTTTTTAATCCATCACTAATGATCTAGAAACATTTCTTGACAAAAATTTCAAAATAGTAGATGTATTCATGTGATGTAATATACAGATGCATACCATTCCGTGTATATAGACACATATCTGTATGTATATTTGTGTGCCCTGTTTAAGGTTAGCTGCTAGGAGGCCTGTTCCCAAATTCCCTCTTGGTGAGAATACTGTGGCAGCATTGAAATCTCATTCTGTGCAATGGATCAGCCTTGTTACTAGTAATTAAATGCTCAAAGACAAGAATCTTCCCTCTTCTAGTGATTGAGACAGTGTCTTTTGCTATTAGTGAATTAAAGATCAGCATCCCAAGTAAACTGGCTCGCTGCTTTTTTTTTTCAGTATGACTTCTTTCCCCTTTGGTTCCCCAATCACTCCTTCAGGTCTCAGGTTGAAGATCCATTTCTTTGTTTTCAGCTTCCTTTCACTGTGCCAAGACAACTAAATTTAACGGTTATTCTTTAGAATTAGACCCATGTCTGGCTCCTGAGAGATTTCCAGCTAGCACAGTCTGAAACAAAACTCAGATTTCCACTCTCTTGCATCCATTTCTTTACAAATACAACATATTGTATAATTTCTCTAATATCACTGCGATAAAATACAGTCCTTAGCAGCAGTAAGACATGTTAGTAATACTAAAAAATTAATCTTTTAATGGTTGTTAGTGAATTTTTATGCTCACTGAGCTTTCATGACAGAGTTTTGTTCTCAGCATTCTCTCTGTTTTCCTTTTGCATCTCTTTCTCTGGTTTCTCGATCATTCCTGTTGCTTTTGGAATGAAGCACTACTGCATACTTACTCACCTGCTCCCTAATTTATAAGTCCTTCATATCCAGAAGCTGCTTTGCTGAGCTTTTCTACACCCTTGTCCAGTTTAAATGGCTACCTGAGTTCTGACTTTCAGAGATACTTACTTGGCTATTTCCATGTTTTTTTCCACACATCAGTCTCCACTACTACATTTGTCTCTTAGACAAGACCTTTTATTTCAGTGTCTCAGAACTGGGGAACAACAGTGAGCAACCAATATGCCTGTGTGTCTCAGTCACTTTCTCATTCCATCTAATCCATTTTTATAAAAGTTGTGACGAAGGAGGCTAAAAACATCGCCAGAAATACAGTATTCAGTTACAGAAAATGTAACTTCTCTGAAACCTGCAAGCTATTGTTTTTAAGAAAGCAAACATAAAAGATTTCATTTTTGGAATACTGGTGGTGATTCATTCATTATTGAACTAATTCTGAGAGGTCTGTAAATACAACTTTTTTTTTTTCCATGACAAGCTTTATTACAGTGAATAAAGTATCTGCAAGAAAAAATATACTCAGTAAAGGAACAACTGAACACAGCGGAGATGTGTTAAAATGTGTATCCATATCTTGAATGCCATCTTTGCTTTTGGATACACATTCTTTCTGCATAGTGCAAAGGAATTAAAACACTTTGGTACAATAGCAGCACCAGCTGAAAAGGAGCTTGGATGCAAATTAAAAAAAAAGTTTGGCTGTATTATCATGTTCATGATTGGTCTTATTTGCAGTAGGTGTGTATTTGTCCTCTGTGAAAGTAGTTTCCAGGCAAATTTCAGAAGAACATTTATTTTCTGTAAAACACGCTACTGCTGTGGAGACAGGAATGATTTATCTTAAACTCTACTAAAGAAGCAAGCATTCTCAAGGTTATGTCTATTAATTTCCAAATAGGTTTCACAGAGTTGACTTCCCCTGGACAGGCAAGGAGAAAGAGAGGAATCCAGGAAGCAGTTCAGAAAATAAATCTACTTTTATTTGCTATGAATAATTTCTTAAAGGATTTTTTCTTCCTTCAGTTCTGTAGGGGACCTACAGAGATTAGGCTCCCTAGCCTCTTGATCTTTATGAATGCTTTCCAAAAAATGTGTTGTTGCATTGTGTCTTGTACTGTGGTCAAAACAAAATCATTTTAGAGCCTTCTCAGTGAGAAACATATATGTGTTTGTTCTAGCAACGTTGGCTTGAGTGTATGTTAATCACACTAGTCTAATTTTAACAAATTCAGTTGCATGAAGAAATGAAAGTGTAAGTTTCTTACATATACATATACAATAATTATTCTGAGTGGGAGTATTGCTGAAGAAAATCTGTATTCAGAGATGATTTCTCAGTGCCCTACATATTGTAATGTTCACAAACCAGGGAATTGTTTTAACAAGTTGTTAGGCACTTTAAAATGTGAGCTTTAAGCTTGCTTTGTTGTGGAAAAATCAATCATCCAGAAGCTCTCTTTAAATTGGCATTCTTTTCAAGAATGTGAGATGTTGACTTAAGCTTCAGCTTTTATTCAACTTTTAAGACATCATTTGTGTAATAGAGCTGCATTTCTAACTTTTCAAGTCTGAACCTGAAGCAATCAGTCTTAAAAAAGCTGCTCTAGAATGCCCACATATGGCCAATGGCTTTTGAGAAGAAAGAGCACTTTGAAGTGTGACCTCAAGAGTATTAAATGAAAGAGAGCTCACCAAAGCCTTAAGACTTTGAGCCACCACCTTGAGATGATTGGCTTAGAAGCATTCCTCAAGGAGGTGCCGTGACCTGAAAGTCACTACCATCCCAACCACATATTAGTGCTGTTTGCAATCTGGAGCTCATGACAGCTTTAAGCCCCATGTCATCGGCACATTGTCAGTAACAGCTGTTTCCACTCTACCACTTCAAAAGGGCTTGATTAAATGTCTTACTGTAACAACATACATAAAGACACACACACAGAATGAGGGGGAGAAGAGAAATGTACCTATAAGCAAAGTAAACACAATTTCCACTAGATGGTTTAATCATGATGTGGAGGACTAAACCATTTCTTGACTTGAAGGGTTTATGTAATCAGTT